CAAAGTTATAATTTGCTACAAAACTGCAGCAGTTTTGCTAAACTACAAAGAAATAAGGCTGCTTGGAGTTTGAAAAGGTCTGGCCTAAAATGAATTTTCATAAAACGCAGCTTTTTTGACTGTGGTATCCTGTTAAACTTCTCTGTCTCGTCACTCAGTTTCTGTCTGATTTGCGACTTCATGTTATGCTTTTGGCACTTCTAACCAATCTGGCTATTTTTCTACGAAACCTGTTTCTCCGAATCATTTATTTTTATATTTGATCGCGCGAGCCTTGCCCTAAGAAAGTTGTACTTACGAGGAAAAGTCATTTTTTTGCATCCATTCAAATGAGCTAATGTTATTTGGTAAAATGATGTTCTTTTATGACAAACTGTGAATAGGTACTATTGGAACTGAATGGTCGGCGAGCATCGAAAGTTTACGAGAACGATTGGGCCTATTTTGAGCCAGTTCACACCCCATCGTGTGCTGCCTTCAACAGATCGTCCAAGAACTCATCATTCCTGCTCATCATTGTTAAATCATCGCCTTATCACTTCTTGGTATGCCTGCTCCGATTATGGATTTTTTGGCACGTGAAATATGTGTATTATTTCAAACAAAGTGATTGTTTTAGGCGAATTTTAGATTTTTTTTTTTTTGCAGTAATAGAGACTTCCTAAGATTTTTTTGTAGATTTTTGTGCTTTTTAATTAAAAAATTGAATGAAATTCCGCTTCATTCCCTTAGTTTGTGCCTAAAATTATACAGCTAGCACCTTTTTTCAAACCTGCAACTTGACTTTAATCTTCAAAATTTTTGTATTCTTTTTAAGTTATAATGGTGCCACAATCATCATGCTGAGGAGATCCAGTTGTAGCATTGAAGTGGAACTTTCAGTGGATTCAGTGGGCTCAAGCATTCCCTTTAAATTATTTCATATTATTTCTTTTTGTCTACTTCTTTTTTAGTTAGACAAATGTTCTTTTTTTTTAAGAATTTGTTTTTCTTGGGCAGTTTGTTTAAAAACTCTTTTTTATTTCGTAGCAGAAGCAGTAAAATACATACTAAAGTCAAGGTTGGAACTCCTCCGCATTTTGCTCCTTGTGAGGTGCTATTGATGGCTCCTTCTTCAAAAGAATGCTTAGAAACAAGCTAAAAGCAGTTCTGTTTCCCAGATATACGTCGGTACTAAGCTAATGTCGAAATGAATCGGCGTAGCACCATCAAAGGATTGGCAGGTTCTCTCACTTCCGGAACTAGATACTCAAGTTTCCAACGGTCGCAAAAAACCATTTGACAGTTTTCATTCTCTTCGGCTGCCCAACTTGGACCGTCCAATTTTGGTTCGGCCTTCTATGGCCCTTCTATTTTATTTCAGCATAATATTAGTGCTGATAAATCCACTAATTGGACTTCCAGAATAGTGTATTGCAGAAACGAGAAGCGGTACGCGCCACTTGGGGCTTAATCTCGAATCACTCGGGATTTTTTATTCGGACGATTTTCGTGATGGGACGACAAGCCGATGTAGCGCCTGCTGCTCTTGAAAAACTTCGGCGAGAGCTGCGCCTCCACAGGGACGTTTTAATTGGCAATTATATCGACAGTTATCGCAATAACACATTAAAGGTTTGTAGCATTTGGAAAAGCCATACTCTATTGCTTTTTTGTCATTTTGTAGCCAATTATGTCCATATAAGTAGCAGTTGTAGTACCGATTGTTTCGTATTTGAGATAATGATGATATTAACTTGGATTTGAACTGGAAATCATAGATGAGGACGCTAAAGGAGGGGGGGGGGATATACATATATTGATTGGAGAGGAATGTTTTGGTCCATCAAGTCGCATACATTCTGTTTTTGAACTTCGACAGTGCCTAGGAAAAATGAGCAATTAAATAGATAAAAGAAATTTAGAAGGATGGAAAAATGAGAAAGAACAATAACAGGAAATGGAAAAGTAAAGAGGCAGAGAAATAGCCATTTTGAGTGAAAAGGAGATAACAGATCGGAGATAAATAAAAATGAGTTAAAAAAAAGCCCGATAGAAATTTATACGAGTAACTCAGCAGATTAATTTGAATAGTTTATTTCTTTTCGAAAACCTGGATAATCTCTGAGAAGTTTTTTGAGCTGTTGATAAAGTTTTTTTTCGAAAAAATACTGTTTTTACAGTTCTTGTCGGCGGTACAGTTCTCGTTCGATTATTGCCGCGAGCAACGTACTGTTCCGTATGCGCTTTTTGTGGACGATGATTATCTGGTTTTAATGCAAAATCTGGTGGCTGAAGTGAAAAAACACGACGTTCGCGAGCGACTCTACATGGGCTGGAGATTTGACACACGACCATTCCGTACTTCTTTGCACAAGCATCGGGTATGTATCCCGATTTTTTTGCGTTTTGTACTGCAACAGTTACCAGTAATAGCACCAATATCGGATCCTTATACCAATTGTCCGTGTGTTCTTGATATTCTTGTTATGCGGAAAAAAATGTGCATTTATTTATCTCCTTTTCCACTGCTCATAATTATCTCTATTCGCTTCTCTTGCAGGTCTCGTTGTTGGCATATCCATTTGACCGATATCCACCATATATCTCGGCTGGCGCTGTTCTTCTGTCTTCACAAGCCATACGTGAAATGTACTATGCAATTCAGCATACCAGACTTTATGCGCACGATGATGTGTATGCCGGTATATTGGCCAAGTCGCTTGATCTGCCCGTCACACATAACAAAAATATGCGTTTCTGGAAAGCAGCACTTAGTGAGAACGATGCATCATCAGTGATCTGTGCTCATGGATTCGAGGAGGAAGGCCTAAAAAATATTTACAATGAGCTAAGGAGAAAGATTCCAGGATTCGCCTAATGGATACGCCAAATTTCTGGATCACCATATTTCTGTGCTGGGCTCCATAGTCGCTTTTAGAACTCCACATAGGGCTGCCAACTTCATTCAAAAATTTTGTGGTTACTCCACGCTTTACTTGAGTATTTTCACATCAGATTGTGCAGTTGCTAATATTTGCAAAGGATTTTTCTGAGAGAGAGGGAGAGAGAGAGATGAGAATGGTTGGCAGCAAAAGTTGTGGTATTATTTGCCCTGATCATGCAAGAACAAAAGAATTGTTAAAGCGCGAGTATATTTCGGAATCCGAAACGATACAGCGCACTCTACAGATTACCTGTTTTTCTTTGAAGTACAGTATAACTCGCAGATTTGTTATAATGTTCTACTTTCTGCTGGCTGAATTTGCAAGCTGTATCAGCAGTGGCTTCATAATCGCATCTGCACTGGCCTAATCATTGAACCTCTTATTTATGAAAAATCTCTTATCTCAGTTTTGTTATTTCCTCTGTAGTTTGACTCACAACGGAAGGAACAGAAAACCGACGTAAGATTTGCGCCTATCTGTTATGCTGTTTAGAAATTATGCAGAAAAATAGGCACGTTATATTCGTTGAGGCATTCGTTCTCTGTGCACTTTGCGGCTAATCATGAGTTTTAAGCTGCCACAGCATTACTCAGATTCTTTGCGATGTTTGAACGATGAGCACTTGACCGACCGAGTACCAGCTATCCCTCTCAGGCACGTACTTATGCCCTCATTTACCTGAGTAACAACGTCCCGGTTTCTTACCCGGATATCTGGACCAGCTCTGATTCTCAAATTTTATGCTGCTGACAATTTCTTGATTGCTCTAACACTAATTTTCTGCTGGCCAGCTTGCTGCTTGTCGGTTACCACGAAATTTCAGAAGCTTTGTGTGTGGTACCACTGTTGGAGGTCGTCTTCTGCAAAATATCTTGGTGCACAGAGAGAGACATGATCTCATCGCAGTGCTTCGCTAGTGCGCTAGTTCTCAGTCATCTCGTAACAGCTTTTTCTGCTGCTGTAATTTACGAAATGTTAGCATTCGTCGTTTATTGTTGTCCCAGAAGTGTCTTTATTTTATTGTTACATTGTTACATTCTACGATTCTTGAAATTTTCAAGCATGTCGCGTCTCTTCCGGGTAAACAGTAATCGCTCTAGAGACATATTCACTTATTTTATGCTTACTTGAATTCTTTCTGTTGCTGTAGTCCACAGTGTTCATAGCGCTTCTTAATGTATCGGTTGTTGCTTTGCTTTCGGTTATAAAAGCTGTAAAAAGCATTATTACCGGTATAGATTCATCTGTTCATCATGTGTGAATGGTAAGATTTTTTCTCGTTTTCTCCTTGCTTATGTTTTTTGCTGTTGTGCTGCTAAAACGCATCTCATTGTGAGTTTTGCATAACATTGGAAAAAAAACAGCTTTAAATGCAATGTGTAGCGCTGAAACAAGAAACATACAAGACAAAAAGGTATTTTCTCAAACATTTTCAAAATTCAGATTATGATAAAGGCTAGGCCGAGTATTACGACCATATATTTCTCTGACATAATCGACACGCTAATATACTGTAAAGCCAAACCACATTTCACTTTCTCTCAAAGAGCTCTCGAAAGCGGAAATTGCAACGATTTAATGAAACACCAATGGTTCTCTTTAACGAAGATGGGTCACAGTACAAGCTTACGTGCAGGCATTACTCCGTGTAAGGTACAGACGATTCAATAGCTGGAATGAAATAAATGATTGGAACAGCCAAATAGGATGTGCCAGCAAGTTGTTTTTTTGGTTACTGAGTTGAAAGTTAGTGACAAAATTCACTCGCTTCTGAAATACACACACAAGCGGAAGACCTCTTAGTAATGCGCTTTTGCTCACAACTAAAACGCGTAAAAACGACGTTGAACAGAAGTTATTTATTTTCCTTTATGCAAAATTTATGACGATTTACGCTAGTGAACGCACATGGCAAGTGTAAATGAACAACTATTAATGCGGTTAACGACCTGATTGCTTCAAGTTCAGTGCAAAAACATATGATTGCAACGGAAAGTTCCAGTCTAGGCTTAGTAATGGACCACTCGGGCAGGCTTCCGAAGAGCTGATGAACGCAGATTAAAAAGGCGGTGGGTAATAACTAGAGGCATGCATGCGAACAAAGTATTTGGCATAGCTACGTTTAACACACAAAAGTATTTCTGTAACATCGCTAGTTTCTATGCCAGCTGCACAGGTAATTCTATTTCTTAGTTACTATCAGTTTTGTTTTCCCTTTCCAAAAAATTTCTGCTGTACTATATTTTGCAAAACCTCTTCTTCTGAAAATAAATTTTCAGCAAGGCTAATTGCATTTTATTTTTTGGTCACAACAAACACAGTGAATAGAATATATTAAGTATCAATTGGCGCAGGTGTGTAAAGAAGGATGTCTGCTTCATAAAAGCTGGTGTTTATTGAAATTCGTCGCAAACCTCTTTTTTCTACATAGTAACTTTTTGTGAGCATTTTCTCCATTATTTCAGCAGCGTGCAAGATATCACTGCGACTATGCGAAAAAGCAAAATTCGATGGGTTTGGCGTGTCATTTAACTAACTACGGGCAAATATGACGCACTAGTGAGTGGTACTTGGAGAAGAGTGGAAGACCTGGGAATCTTGCGTATGATGGCGCATATACATCATACAGATATTGGGTAGGTACCAACTGCGGATATATAACTCAGGACTGAACAGCACTGACATTGCTGCGCTAGGTGCACGAAAGTATTGCCCCTTCTCCCCCTTCCCCCCTCCCCTCCCCTGCTCCCGTCCCTCCCTTTTTTCTTCTCCAGTAACATCACTACCATAGAATCCTAATACTAACTGCACGAATATTCTCGTTAAAAAGGTAACAGTGCATACCAAAGAACTGATATTGTTACCCGTTTATAAGTTAGTGGTCTTTATCATGATAATCTCAAAATTTACCAGATATATTAAAATTCCGAGAAAACTGAGTTCACGTTTTGCTTCACTCTGCAGTTTTAAACTGCATTTCGACGTCTAAACGTAAGTCGTTGCGCCACGGAATTTGACAGCTGACTGCAGGTTTTTCTTCTGAAACCGTATAGAAAAAAGCGAAATCTGATATTTTTAGCTTATTCTGTAATCGAAAAAAACAGCCTCAATTTGAATTTGAGCTGAGAATTCAAGGTCGTTGTATTTCAAAAGAAAATTCTATCTTGTCCATTCTGCACCGTTTAGAGAAAGAAAATGCTTGAAACTTAAAGCGTTCTTTTGATTCTGAAACAAAAAAATGAGCTAAGTGAAATGAGCTGAATTTGGATCTAGTGTCACAAAGGACGACCTGAGAAAACAAGCTCTGTGATTCTGTGCGTAATCAAAAATTTCCGAAATTTTCATCATCTAATTTTTACAGTCACGAGCCGAATCCTCCGAACAAACATGCATACACAGGCACATATCATCAACAAACACAAATGCAGACATACAAATAGAGATGCACACTTACACATTCACGCATGTTTTTAAAAGAAAA